GCGCTGCCCCAGGCCGCCGAGGGACGGCGGGGCCGGCGCCATGGCCGAGCGGGGCCGTCTCGGCCTCCCCGGCGCGCCGGGCGCGCTCAACACGCCGGTGCCCATGAACCTGTTCGCCACCTGGGAGGTGGATGGCTCCAGCCCTAGCTGTGTGCCCAGGTACTCGTCCGCTCCCTACGCTTTGTCCATGCGCACCTGCCCCGCCCGGCCTACGGCTGCCCTCACCCACGCCCGGAGCGCCGCCAGTGGGGCCCGGGTCTGGGCTGCCTGGATCGGACGGGAGCTGCTCGGATCTGGTCGGGTTGGGGCTTAGGGTCGGAGTTCCTGGCCCGCCTGGCCCATTCCCAGCCTCAGCCTGACACCTGCCTCTGGCGCGCGCGGGGTGCCAGTCCCCGGGGACCGCAGTTGCCCTCGCGTCCAGGCAGTGTCAAGCCTCGAGGCCTGGGAGTGACCCTTAGGCGTGGTGTCAGAGGACAGCCACAGCCAGTGCGAGACCACCGTTTCCCTTGTCTGGAGGACTCCAGGCCGCCCCTTCGTCCTGCGGGCCCGGCCAGGTCGGTCCCCTCCATAGTTTTCGCCTTGCCTGGCCCTGTAGAGACATCATCTGAACGCAGTGCTTTTTCCTGGAGCTGCTAATTTTGCCATTGCAAAGCCTTATTACACTGCACTGGGTTGGTGCATGCTCCCTGGTCCAGTGTAAAGGATTGGACCGGGCACACTGGCAGGGCTGAGCCTGGAGCAGTCACAGTAGACTGGCAGCTTCCCTGTTTCTTCTGCACAGCTTGAAACTTCTGTGGTTTTTTCTTGACTTGGTTCCTGCTCAGAGAGCTCCCAAGCCCAGGGCGAGAGCAACACTGCCTTGCAGGATTCTGGCGGAGGAATAGGAGCTGGGTGGGGGTGGGGAATCTCCCAACAGGGACTTCAGTGAGTCCATACAGCACAGGTTGTGGTCTTGGAGGGCTCAGGAGAACACCCGGGACTCTGGTCTTCAGTTTCCCTGCTAGTGGGCACATCACACTGGCACCAGCCTATGGGTTTGTCGTCTTCAGCATAGGACTGGGAAGAGTGACAGCAGCAGGACTTTCGCTCCTAGTGTGGCCTCCAGGAGGACTCATTTCACTGGGTCAACATTGCCAAACCCAATGTTGAAGCCAAACCCAAGACGTCTGCTAAATCCCCCGTGTGGGGACCGTGCTGGAGCCTCCCACACCTGCTGTCTCTCTTTGTATAACCAGCCCTCCACTGGACCTCCCCACCTGTGAGGGCCCCAGAGCAAATTTAGACCTGGCTGCCTTTGGCTGGGCTGCCTGACAGAGGACCAAAGACTTGAGTCATGGTCTCCTTGTGTTGCCCAGACTGGTCTCAAACTCTTGGGCTCAACTAGTTCTGCCCTCTTCCTCCCAAATGGCAGGGACTAGAGGCATAGGCTATTCACCAGGTTAGATGTGAAGTGTTTCATCTCAAAGGTGGAGGAGTGTGATCAGGGGCACTGTCAGACCCGACGTGGAGCCAGGCTCTGTCCTCAAGTGGTCTGCAAAGGAAAGCATGGGGTGGTGCAGGGCAAGTGGCAGGCAGGGTGGAAGCCCTGGGCTGGAGGGTGCTGGGTACTGGAGTGGTTGGGGCTCTGCCTCAGCCAAGGAGAGAGGACGGGCCAACAAGACAGTGGGCTTGCTCTGTGGTATGGAGGCTGAGTACACAGCTCAGTCCCAAGTCACCCTCACCTGTCCTGCCTTGTGCTTGCTTCGTGTGGTGTGTATCCCTTTGACAGTGATAGTTTGCTGCTTATCTGGGGACCTTCTGCCAGTGGCATTGTCCTCCCTGCATGGCTCAGTCTTTGCTCCCTAAGCTGCATTCGTGGGTTAGCTGGTGACGTGTTCACTGCCGTGCAGTATTCCCTGGGACAACACCACCAAGTCTCTGCTGGTGCCAAGGGATATTTAGTTTGCTTTGAGTTCTTGGCTAATTACAAACCTTTCATGTAGACATCCTAGTCCCTGTCTCCTGCGTACATAGTGATAGTGCCTTGTGTCGCTGGCTGCTAGTCGGCGGGATACAGACATGTGCAGCTCTGTAGCCACCTGGCTGCTTCCCAGAGGGAGGTTGCCAACCCCGGCCCCACCGGCAGGACTGAGAGTGCCCACTGCTCCACATTATTGCCAGTGCGTGTGACTATTTTGCCAGTCTGGTGGGTGTGAAGTGGTATTGCAGTTTTAATACTAGTTTCACTGATTACTAACCTAGGCCCCGTGTACTTCCTTGTCAGTGAAATGCCTCTTCATTTCTTCCACCATTTTTATTTCTGTTTTCCTACTGTAATCTCAGCAGCTTTTATAGGGGAGAGTAATCTTTTACCAGCTATCATATCCTCATGCCTTACCAGACCTGCCCTGAAGGCATCCTGAGCCAACAACAACAAAACCCCCCCCAAAAAAAAACCCAAAACCCAGCTATGTGTAATGAAAGTACCCTCCACCAATTTGAGGTGTCTCTACCATCCTTCACAGCCCTTCTGTGGTCCTCGAGTCCCTCTGGGGCTAAGGCACCCTCTGTGGTCCCGGGGCTCAGTTCCTCTCAGCTGACTTTGGTGATGGTGCTGGCAGGAGAGTTCCCTGACCCCAGGGAGTTGTGACTGGCTTTCTACCAGAGCGAGGGCCCAGTCCTGGTGTCCCTCTAGATGCCTGGGCATAGCAGCACTGCTGCCCTTGATGGGCCTGTGTGCCTTCTGCTGGGTCTGTAGTTGACACTGCCTTTGCCCCTTCTGGTCCTGTTCTCACACATCCTCACCCATCCCTCAGCAACCCTTGGCATTCTGGATGTGGAACTCCCACCTGATCTTGCCTCCTGTGGTTCATGGGTTCCTTTATAAACTCCTTGTTTAGTGTATTTGTGTTGTCTTTACCCCTATAGTCTCTCGGCCAGTGTTCTTGGTGCACTGAGGGAAGCCCAGGTTCATTCTATACAGCAGGAGCCCAGAGCCTCAGCGTGTGGTGTGAGTTGTGACAAATGTGTGGCCCTGGAGGCACAGAGCATGTCTGTTATCCCAGAGAGGTCGTGTGTCCCTCCCAGTCAGCCCTGATGCTGACATCTCCACAGGCAGTACCGTCCGTCTTTCCGGAAGGACACATGTATACCCTCCCTGAACAGCGCCAGGCCATGCTGCTTCTGTGAGCTGTCCTTTCCTTTGTATCGCTGTCTGCTAGTCCCTGGTCAGAGTGAGCTCCGCCAGGTGCTGTCCCATGGGTGCAGGTCTGGGTGCTTCCCAGCCTGGGTGTGGAGTGGAGTGCAGTCTCCCTGCTGTGGCTGTTCCTTTCAGTGTGTGGGGTACAGGGCCAGTCTTCTTGCCTCCTTCCCTTCATTGTTCTTTGGCTGTACTGGCCACTTAACTATACTTTTATTACACTTTTTAATATTAAAATTTATTAAAAATAAAGTTATGAAGTTAAAAATGATTTTTTTTTCACTTTATGTATTTGGTACAGAGTTTTACTACACAGCTCGGACTCGTATAGATCCTCCTGTTTTTAGCCTCCCCGGCACTGGAATTACGGGCATGTGCCACCACACCCAGACTCTGTTGCTGCCTCAGTGTGCCCTGGGGGTGGCATGGCATGCAGGACTGGAGATCAAACCCTGGTCCCTGCACTTGCCAAAGCAGGTGCTTAGTCTGTTGAGCTATCTCACCAGCCCAGAGTGTCATTTATTACATTGAAAGACTGGCCAGACTGTGCTCAAACTTTTGATCCTCCTGTCTCACTCAGCCTTGCAAGTGCTGGGGTTATAGGCATCTATTACCACACCACTGGCCTCCTTTTTGTTTACCCAGGATTGAACCCAGGGCCTATCTCGTGACAGGCAAACACTTTACCACTGAGCTACATCCCTAGAAATCACTCCTCCATTCCACCCCTATTTAAAATTTGAGACTGAGCCCTGTTGTTGCATCAGGCTTATGTAAACTGGACTTGAATTTGGGATACTCCTGACTCAGCTTCCTGAGTAGCTGGGATTAGAAGTGTGAGCTGCCATGCTCAGCTCATGGTGTTTTGTTGAAGAGACAAGTTTTTACTTTTGATGAGGTCCAGTGATTAATTGTTACGTCTTCAAAGCTAAGCAGTCTCAAGGTCACTTTGGCTTCCGTGTGTAGATGCAGTGCTAATTCAACCTAGTCCTGTTACTTCCAGAAGCATCTCTTCTTAGCCATACATGGTTTATAAGGGAATTTCTTGGCTCAGAGCTGGTACAAGAGTGGCACCGTTTCCTCGTGAATACACCTGTGGTGACAAATCTCTTTATTGTGTTCACCTTGTTAGCCGACTCCTAAGTGCTTGTTTTGTGTGTCACATGTGAAACAAAGTTAGCTTTTATTGCCTGTTGCAAACACATAGAACTCTGTTTTGTTTTGTTTTGTTTTGTTTTGTTTTGTTTTGTTTTGTTTTGTTTTGTTTTGTTTTGTGTTGGTACTGGAGGGGGAATAGGGGACCCTGTGCTGCCAGGCTGCACCCCCAGCACCTGGTCTGGGAGCAGAACCGTCTATTAGGGTGTTTCTTTGCTGTTTGGGTCTCACTGTGGCGCCCTGGCTGGCTCTGCACTCCAGGCCGGCGCGCCTCCTGCCTCGCTCTCCCAGGTCTCTGTGCCTGCGGTCATGCTGCATGCAGTTTTGGAGTGCCTTTCGAAGCCAGTAACCTGGTGCTTATGGATAGATTAGTTTGCATTTGAAGGGTACATTCTCTCATTGGCAGAAGAAGAGCTGTGTTTGTTATTTTCTTCTTTTAAAAATAATTTTATTTGGTTGTTGCCGGATCTCACTACATAGCTTGGGCTCAGGCTTCCCCAGTGCTGGGATTACAGGCGTGCGCCACTGTGCCCACCCATGCTCTGGCCGGTGTGGCCTGCAGTGCCTAGGGTTGAACCATGACCCTTCGCTTGCCTAAACTTGCCTAAGCAGGCGCTTTAGTCCCCTGAGCTATCTCGCCGGCCCTGTTTGTGGCCGTTTGTTACTTCCTTTTCTTACCTCACTACACTGGCCCTCACTGCACAGTGTTGAGCTAGAAGTATTTCTGTGTATATTCTCTTGTGTTCTGCACTTGAAGTTTTAATGTTTCACCACTAAGAACGATGTCTGCTGTAACTTTTTGTTTGTATTTTTTATTTTGACACAG